AATTTAAATCTAGTGTGTCGCAGGTTCTGACAAACCTGGGTTATTCGGTAGACGCCGCGTCGTTGGCTGAGATGTCGACGTTTCGCCTGACATGTCGCAGGCTTCCTCAGGGCAAAGATGTCATATCTCTGAGGAAGCCTGCGACATGTCAGGCGAAACGTCGGCCTCTCAGCCAGCGTCGCGGCGTCTCCCAGAATCGAATCGAGCCGCGGAAGCTTACGTGTAAACCTGGGTTGTCTGTGAGAGGGCAGCTTTAAAGACCAGAATGCCCCGTGTTGGTCAGGCTCTCTGAGGCATCATCCCCTGCTCCGCAGGAAGAGGGAAGCAATTTATTGTGCGTCTGAGCAGTGTAACAGCTCGGGGGTTGCACAGGGAGTAGGTGCCTCAACTCAGGTAGCCGGGTAGACTAAGCCTCAAGAGTGACGTCGCACACAAGCATGCCCCACGGCCATCAAGCTAGTGGGAGAGTTGCCAAAACTACTAGTTCGAATAAGAATCGTTAAACTATAATGACATAATGAATCAGATAAAAGAAAAAGATCAAGCGGACACAAAATATAGTTGGTGGAAACGGAATTCAAAGTTAACTACCAAGAATAAAAGAAGAACATTTACACTGTTTAACTAATTTGCTGATATTTGTTAGTAGTAGTTTCAGCTCTTAGGGTGAAGAAACTAAACAGAATATAGAATTTTGAGGAAAAAAATTATAAAAAAGGGAGAAACAGTGAATTTCGGGACAATAACAATGTTATCACTGAAAACCTGGATGAATTTCTTAATCAAGCCACCTCATTCATTTCAAACATTTTCCAGAATATGAAGAGTCAATAAAGAAAATGAAACGATTAGAAGATAATATAGAAGAAGGTTTGGAAAAAGAAAACTGTGGAGACCATTGAAGACCCGTTAGTAAGGGAATTAATCGCCCGCAAACTAAAACAACTAATAGACGTGATGCGTATCAAGTAGCAAATTTGGTGAGGCCTGTGTCCTTTCCAGCAATGGCAGAAACGTAAGCGGTGGTTGAGAAGGGGCGGCGGCGTCAAGGCGCAAAGTCAGAAACTGCGAGGTGGAACGGCAACGCGCAGGGTACCAGGGAAGAAGCCCTGGCAGGAAGGGCGAGGACGCAAGCGGGGACGGGGGCGCCCAGGGCCCTACCTCGGGCGCTCCCCCCCACCCCCAACCCACGCCGAGCTCTAATTGACGTTCATCTCCGGGTAGTTACCCCCAGCGTGAACCCCCGCTGCCGCCCCCGCCGTCCGACCAACTTTTAACGGGCAGTAAATTCGAGAAGTAAATTGGAAGATACGGCTGCTATCTCGGAAGGAATTTTAATTCTTAAATAATTTATATTGTTGTTCCTTTGAGGAACACGCTTCCTGGGTATTAGAAAGAAGATCCCCCGACGACGCTGAAGCGTAGTTTTGTAAGTCCATTAAACTTCCATCGAAGAAAATGTGTAATAATGTAAGTTTCTTCTTTAACAAACGCGATTAATGAGTTGGATTAACATTTCTTCAAAAAACATTGGATAATTGTTCTTTCCATTGAAAGTAATAAAACTGTAGTTACAAATTCTTATTTGCTTAAAGTTCAATATTATTTAAGAACAAATAAGGATAAAAAATAGTCAAGTGAGATAATTCGAAGAAATGTGTTCTTTTACAAGAATTCAAATGGTTCGTGTAATGATTATTCAGTTTCTTAAAGTTTTATGTTTTTTTTGTTAATCATTAGTTGTTGTGAAAATGAAGTTGTAAAACATCATGATCAGAAAAAATGTTTTGTGACGTATTTCTTTTACTGTGTTTTTTCTTGAGATTCTTTTTTTCCATTACCTCCTCTGCGACCTCTGAACTTTGCGTAATCCAGAGAAATCGGTTGTCACGCAGCTTCCTTCTTCCGAGTTAAAAAAAATGAAATACGATTTTCTAACTACACAAAACACTGAACGTTTTTTTCGCCGTAATCCCATTTACAAGAAAAGTTGCTTTACATCTGTTCAAATTATTAAACGGTATCTACAGGATTAAAATGTTCTTTTAAGGGTTGTTATTTGTAGGGAAGTAATTTACTTGGAGAAGAAATACTTTACGATTTTAGAAGGTAAATCTTTTGAACAATCCCTAATATTATATTTTTCATAGCTTTAATGATGATAATATAAAAAAGTTAGTATGTATTTTTTCACCACTTTTTCATTTTTGAGAAATGTAAAAAATGATGAGTGAAAAGTTGTGTTAGAGGAAACGTTAAATAATTTTATGGGGTAGTATAGTAAATAGCGTTTTAACCTCAATAGTACGTTTGTACGCAAAACAAAACAGTTGTGTCTTTAGAACAAACTAATAATAAATAAATAAAGATATTGTCAGGTATCAATATTTTAATTCAACTTATGATCATTTCGATCGGTTGCAGACTCCTAAATTTAAAGCAAACACACATTAGAGATAAAACAATAAATTTCCGAATTCTAGAAATTGAGAAACAGATACTGAACAGAAAAATTATGAAAGCCCTACACATACACAATCGCCGTAAAAAGACAGAACTTGACATGTCTTAACAACAAATCCTGAACTCTCTTACACACTCCTGCTAAATTAGCCACAATGTACAGCCCCACACCACCCCTCGCCCTCACGCACTGCCACTAAACCTTGCTCGCGGCTACGGACTCGTCTCTCAAGCATCCACCAGCCCCCGCGTTTTATCAACCCTACACTCCGCACCCCACCCCTGCTTCCCGCCCCTTCCCCAGCTGCCCGACCGGCTGTGCTCCTTAAACAAGACACACGCCTTAAAAATTCGCAGACTTTGTTTTCGGCCCAGAAGCTCCAGGTATGTAAGATCCAGTTTACTTACGCATCTTGTATATCAATAACTACAACTGTTATAAGTATTTGTATTTCATATTTAGCCTCTGAGATGATCGCTGCGCGATCGG